AAAGCTATATGTGGAAGGAAACTGTGACCGAGGACAAGCTGATGGCATAAGATGTAAGTACAACTCCAGGCTACAGGCTGGTTTTAACTGTACAAAACAAGAGCCAAAAGCAAAACTAAACACTACATTAAACTGGGCGACCTAAGGATAAACATAAGAAACCCTGAAAGTGAATATGAAAACATGAACCGTGAAGACTTGGCATAAGTACATGGAAATCCTGGAAAACATGGCATGAGCATAGCAGGATAGCAGACAATCAGTCAAGGAATAAATGCAGACTCAAAGACACACAGGATGTGATCAGGGCAAACACATGTGGAAGCAGCTGGGTGGAATGAACATAACGATGCCACAGGGGAAGTAGAACTAAACACAATGAACATGGGACACCAGACCTCTTCAAAATAAAAGAGGAAAGATGAACACATGACAGACTTTCACCTTTAATTAGTGACTTTTTTAGAAGCTGTTAATTGTTGATTTGATTTTGATTGTTTGGTTTAGAGTCCCAGATGCTGGTCTTTCCATTTTCATTAACAACTTCTCTATTTCCTCTTTCCCACCTACTTCCATGTGTCTGCAGGGCATTCAAAATCAACAAGCTGAAGACTGAGGTCAGAAACCGTCTCACAATGTTGGAAAAGAGAGTAGAGCGTAAGTTTGTTCCCACCACTCTACAGTCACATTTACTGTCTTCCGTCATCAGCTGTTAATCTTGGATATAAAAGACACATTTGAAAAAGGAATACAGTGTTTGATTAGTCATCACTATCCTCATGACTTATAGCCAACTTACCGAAAAGTCAATGATCATATATGTCACATAGAAAGTGACACATTATGTGTTTATAGCCCCGTTTTGGAAGTTGTTCCTTTTCACTCTGCTTGCTTAAAGGGGGTCATATGATTGTTTGGTTTTCTCTCTATTATTGTTGGTTCTCTGTCTTATAATATAAAGTGTTTTGCAGCACTCTTGTCATTTGGTGCTATATAAATTCAATCAAATGGCCGAGGCACCCAGGGTCTCTCTTCTGGACTATACCCCTCCCAGTCCACGAGACAGGCCAAACATCCAGTAACCTCATCACAGAGTAGGCAGGTAGTGGCCAGAGGTCACAGACGGCTGGAACAGACTGGTTTAACCCTCGATACATAGCAAGACTTACAAATGTTCATATTTCTGGTAGAGGTGGGAATCACCATACATCCCACGATACGATATTATCACAATACTTAACGCACGATACGATATTATTGCAATTTCTAAAAATATTTTGCGATATTCAGATTCTGTACATAAAGGTAAACTTTATCAATATTCATTTTCTCTAATATCAAAGTCTCACACTCAGTCTTTCTCTCATTTCAGTTTTATTGTTGACAAACTGAACGGTTTGTATTACAGTCTAGTCCAACTTAACTGAATCAACCATCTGGTACAATTATAGCTATTCTGAACTATGCAGTTTATGAAAACTATGCAGCCCCTTCAGCAACTGAAGAATTTGAAAGTAAATTAAAACAAAATATAATTTTACATTAAATAAAAAAGTTTTAAACTTAATTAAAATAAAACATGTCTGAAATTAAAATAAGTAAACTGTCATGTTTATTGCTGCCATAAACAAGTTAAACACATTTGGACAGTGAAGGAATGTCAGGATTCTTGCTCAGAAAAAGGATCAACATGCTCTGAAGTCAGAGCACAAAAACCTTTTTGTAACAAAATATCGATTTCTGCTGTCCCTGTATCCATACATTGTTAGCAAACAAAATATCACCATACTACACAGTATCCATTTTTTCCCCCACCCCTAATTTCTGGGTAATTTGAGATGCATGTGACGGGATTTATGACTGACAGTTCCCTTGACTCAGTGCGGAGAGGAATGTGTTTAGCAAATAACCAGACTTTCTGACCTGGAAAATATGTTGGAACAGGAAGACGGTGATGATCGATTTGTTGTCTGTTCTGGGAGGAATTCCTGACCAGTGTGGTTCCAGTTAATTTTCCACAGACATCTTCAGCGACAGAGATGACGTTAAACAAATGGGACACTGAGACCAGCTTCTTGGGATGGAAACAGAGGTAGGCTGGAGCCTATTGCAGCTACTATAGTACAAGAGGCACACCCTGAACAGGTCACCAACCTCACACAGGGCTAACACATAGAGAGAGACACCCTTTAGAATCACCAGTTAACCTAATCTCACTACCTGCATTTGGACTGTACCCAGAGAAAACAAAACAGGGAGAACATCCACAGAGAAAGGCCCGGCCAGATGGTGGAGTTGAACTGAGGACCTTCTCGCCCTCTCGGCAGGTGTGGCAGGCCATCCAGCATATCACCTGCTTCAGAGGGCAGACCAAGACAGTTGTAGACCCATGCAGAAGAACTAAACACTGTCTCATGCCTTGACATCCTGGTCAGGAAACTGTCTGAACTGGGATTCCCCCTCCCACTTGCTCTTGGATCTTTAGCAACCTTCCAAACTCAGTCCACACCTTTCCTCTGCTGAGCACTGGCTCCCCACAAAGGTGTATGTTGAGCCTGCAGACCTGCTTACACCAGCAAGACCATAGGGAAATTTGCAGATGATGATGATGACTCTGCCACAGAGACGAGGTAATGAATCTGTCTGCATTATGTTGAGTAGACAGTGAACACCACAATGACACAGGAGATGATCCTGGACTTCAGAAGACACAGAGCAGACCACCTTTACCTCTACATAAATGATGACCCTGTGGAGAGACTTGATCTCTTCCAGCCTCTCCTGGACTGTAAACACCTCCACCATAATCAGGAAGGCACAGCAGTGTCTGCAATACTTCACAGTGCTCAGAAGAAATAGCATTTGTAAGAAGACCGTCTAACGCTCCACTCATCCTGCATCTCACCTGTTCAAACTGCAGCCCTCTAGGAGATGCTGCACATTCATCCAAACCAGGACCAGCTTCTTTTGACAAGCCGTCGCGGTACTGAACACACACACACATCACCCCAGCACAAGACGAGTGCAATACTTCAGAGCAAACCTTGGACATCTGTATAGTCTGGTAGTCCAACTCCTCCAGGATCACAGAGCAAAACAGTCACCATCTACCGGCACCAAATTCCTCGTATGTGTCTGCACATATACTTGGCCAATAAACACAACTCTGATTCTGACTCTGATTCTTTCTGATTACCAGAAGGTTTGCTGCATCTTTCAAAGTATTTTTGTTTATGTCTGCCAGCACAGCCTCAAGCAGATATCAAAACATGCCATTATCAGAAAATTTGCTGCATCTTTCCCAGCACAGTCTCAACAGCATGGAGGGAATTCCAGGAGACGGGCAGTTACTCTAGCACAGGAATGTCAAAGTCACTTTACATCACGGGCCAAGAATATGCTTTAGGTCATGGAAGATGAAGGACCTAACACCGTTGGCTGGCACTCACACTTGACAAACTAAATCCAGTAAAACACCTCTGAGATATTAAATCAAACCATAACTGAGCCTCCACCATGACAAAAGGCTGTAGACACTATTTTGTAAGTGTACATATTTTATATTCACTTCTTAATCCCTGTTTAAGGCTCCGTCGTTGTTTTTCTCGATGTTTCCACTCCTAAATAATGACGTCTTCTCAGTCACTCATCCACTGAGACAGGTTCTGATAAATCTATTCATGGATCCACAGGGGCGTAATTTCCAGGGGAGTTAGGGGGGTTATGACCCCCGCAATAATCAGACCCAACCAATATAGCCCCCCCAATAAAATTATGAATTATCTTTTATAAATAGGCTGTTGGTTTTCTTTACTCATTTCAGTTATTATCAGCAAAATAGTTGCATGTTTAATCATCTGGAAATTTACCCAGATTTATTTATTTATTTAGACAGAGACCTTGACTCCCCCAGTGTTCAGCACAAAGTTAAATCGATGTGTCTCCACCGTCATGGTTCTGGGTCTTCGTCCCAGAATTTTCCATTTATGTTGTGGTCTCATGATTTGGTTTCTTTTAGGATTTGAGATGATTTATGATCTATTTCTATATCTTGTACTTTAGAGTTTTAGATTGTTCCCTTGTTTTGTTTTCTGTGCTCTTCTGAAGATGATCTTAGTTTCTGTTTTTGTGTAGTCCATCTTAGTCTTGTCTCTGTGATTGTATCCCTTTCTGTTCCCATTGTTGTGTCCCTATGTCCCTGTGCTTTGGTTAGCTAGCACCCTGTCTCTGTGCTCCCTGTTTAGTTCTGTCAGGTTAGTATGTTTTAGTCCGGGTGCCGGGGATTATTACTTCCTGTTTTATTTTGATAGGTCCTCTTGTGAGCTATTGTCACCTTGTCTCATTAGTTAGACTGAGTTCAGCTGTAGTTCCCAGTTGTCTTCACTCTGCCCTCCTCTTGTGTATTGATGACCTCCGTTTGCTTCTGTTCTGTCACATCCTTCTTCTTGCTGTG